TTGTGCATCACAACTTGTGACCGTGAAGAATCATGATTTATTAACTCAACCACTTAGCTCCTTCAAATCTGGTGAAGGAACATGCATCACTGATAGAAATCATTAACATCAATGATTTGGTTAAGAGGAAGAGGAAGAAATTTCACTGCATCAATGGATGGTGACAAAATCTAGGAAGAGCCTTGACTACGCAGATATTTCTAAGTGGAAGAAAACAAACCTTTCAATTTTAAGACTTTAGAAAACATTCCTTTCCATTTTAAATGATCCATTGGCCAAAGAGAAAGTACAGGAGTTTAGGTCACCTGCCTTGCATAAGGTAGACACCAGTTCTATCCCTGGAGTCACTTATGGTCCCCTGAGCACAGCCAGGACTGATTCCTGAGGAATCAGAGTCAAGAGTGTCTACCTTCGGACACTACTAGGTATGATACCACTGCTCCACCCAATCAAAAACAAGGAACACAGCTCTATCAATAAATAAAAGGTGATAGAGAAGAAGTTGAGGAGAAGTGAAAAAAATTTTTTCAATGTAATATCGTTCTTAATGTCAGGAGGAATAACCCAGAACAAAGGAGAAAGTGGCAAGCTGAAGAACAGCTAATTGAAGAAGTAATAGTTCAATACTTACTCAACCTGAAGAGGAAGATCTTGTACTAATTCAGGACATTCACAAGATGCAAATCAAATAAACCCAAATAGAATAATGCTAAGACACTTTGAAATAAAATTGGCAAGAACTAAAGATAAGCTCCTTAAAGCAACAAAAGAGAAGCAAACACTCATATACAAGGAAAAAAAATCACATCAGATTTTTTCAAATGAAACCCAATGAGCAAGAAAATATTTACATATTCAAAGTATACTCAGTGGGAAAAAAAACTCCAACCATGGAAGTTATTATTTAGATATAGAAGAGTGATAAAACATTCTCAAACAGAAAATGAAGGCTAGCTTTACTAGGGATACAGAATGGCCTCATATAAAAACCAACGGTAGGGCTGCAACAACAGTACAGTAAGTATGATGCTTTCTTTGCATACAGCTGACGAGGATTTAATATGGACCATGAGCACTACCAGATTATAATTCCTGAGTGCAGAGCCAGGAGTAATCCCTGAGCATTACTGTAGCCCAAATCATCCCAAATAAACAAACAAAAAACCAAAAAACCAAAACAAAAACAAAAAACCAAAAAACCAAAACCAAAACAATAAAACCAAAAAAAGAAAACCCAAAGGTCAAATGGCAAATCAACTAAAATTCTCGTAAACAAATGATAATAAGTCCCTTTTTAGCAATAATTTCTTTAAATGTCAATGAACTAAATTCTTCCATTAAAAGGTACAGAGTAACTAGATAGATCAAAAAACAAAATCAAACCTGAACTCCCACAAGAAATAAAGGCTCGGATAGGTTGGGGAATAATAACAATTGCCAATAGAAAGCTAAAATAAGCAGGGATAGCTATACTTGTATCAGATCAAATAGTATTTAAACTAAAGAACATAACAAGAGGAAGGAATGGGACAGAGATTATTGACTTTGTATTTTAAGCCTAAATTGACTCAACTCTTGCCTGGTAATAGTAATAATGAATAGGTTTTAGTTTTTAAGTGATTGAAATATTTCAAATTTATTTTAGCATGTGAAAATTATATAAGATTTCAGTTTAAGTGTTCAGAAATAAAATCTCACTCTTAATTGGCACACTTTAATGTACACATTATCTATAGATGTTTTTGTGTTTGACTACATAGTAGTAGAGTTGAGCTATCACACTGCTAATCATAGACCAGCAAAGTCAAAGATATATACATACCATGTGGTTATGTTAAAAGTTGCCAATCTCTAATATAGCACCTGTAACTTTATCAATGCATCATTATTGGAATCGTAATTCAACTGTCTAGAATTGTCATGATGTTCAGTGACTAATGTTTCTTATAATATACTTGTACCAAGATGATACAGGATTTCTGGGAACCATGTAATAATTTAATGAAAGACAAGGTAAACGTCATAAGAAATGGCCAAAGAGAATAATTTTTACACTTAAAGTTTCTCCAGTTAGAAAACGCTATCAGATGCCTCAACTCACTTTTGTTTTTTTCATATAACTTTCATTACAGTATATTATTATAACTGTTCTATTTTAAAATATCATTATTTTTAGAGGTAACATTGATTTACAATAGTGTATGCTTCATAAATGATTTTTCACACCTCTTCAAAAATAAGTTGTATACCCACCACCAAATTGCTCCACCTTTATTTGACCCCTCCCACTTTCTGTAATGCTTAGACCCTCCCCTTTGACAGCCTCAATTCTGTCCCCAAACCACTTTATTTTTCTAAGCAATATTTATTGAACTTTGTCTGATTATAAATATAATACATCATGGTATTTGGAAAATACAAAAGCATATGCAGAATATAAATTGATCATATTCCCAGTACTAGAGTTAGCCAAGTTGAAACAGTTTTAATTTGTTACAAAATTGGGATATTATGGCAAAAATGATCACATGTTTCCAATGCAACGTTTCTCCAACATCCTTGCATTCTCTGAGAACATTATCTCTAGAGACTAATATTTCCATTTGGAAATAACAGTTTATTCTCATGATAGGATTTTAAATTAAGTTTTGCTCTTATTTAATGATGCTTCAATAAATAAACTTGCTCATGGTTTTTCTGAAAATTCTATTATTTTGTTCCTGCTGTGAAAAAATACCAAAATAAAATGACTTTTTTCTAAATTTGAATATGCTTCATGGAAATTAAAACAAATTAGAAACAGAGTTGTGTTGATTGTGACTTTACCTATCTCTGTGTCTTTGTGTGTCTATCTTCCCTCATTTTTCAGATTTCCACAACTATACTTGTTGGGGGAATTTCTATTTTATATTTGAATAATATCAAATGACATGTTTTTTTTAACCAATCATGTAAGTTGCCATTCTTTAAGTCCACACCAGAAAGACAAGAATTTTCTAAAACTGTTTAAACCCCCCCTTCCCTCAGAATAAAAGGCAATAATCTTATCAAAAATATTTATTTACAAAAAATTAATTATACTATACATCCTATACTGGAAATACATTGAATAATTGCTAAAATAAATACAAGCAATTAATTCAATCTTTTATAAGAATGAGAGAATTTGACATTTGAATGTTATCAAGCTTATCTCAGAACATAAATAGTTAAAAAGGCAAAACTCAAGTTTTAGTCTCACTTATTGGCATGGTATATTTCCTTCCCATGAGCTCTCTACTCAGTAAAAGTTTGATTTGAAGATGTCATGTATCTTTTGGTACTACAAAGGTAACTGTGCAGTTTTTCTTAGGCAGAATAAATGGAAAATAGATGTAAAGGAAGCACAAAAGCAGAAAGAATATAGTTCAACATGTCCCCCATATTTCTGCTTCCTAATTATATCTACTTTTGATGAAATCACTCGTATGTTCAGTTGTGTTTCTAACACAGTTCTTAATAAAGCACCAGCTACAAAGCAAGCTACATCTTGTCCAAACTCAAACTGGATTACTGAAGTTCTGGAGTAGCTAAATCAACAGGGATAAGGATTCTTGGTTTATCAAGATTTTTTATGTGCCAAATTTTGATATAGTTACTAAACCTTAAAATAATTTCTACTTTGTAAACAAATTTATATAAACCAAAAACAGGAGGTGAAGCAATTATTTATTTGGGGCAGGAGGGCTGAAAATATTCCCTGGAAAGAAAAAGGGGACACTTGGATGTTGAATCTTCCAACTTTGAGTTCATATGTATATACTTGTTAAAACATATCCGACTTAACCATGTAAACCTCATACTAACATGTAAAGTGAATTAGCATGCTAAAGTAAGAGACAAGTAAAATATACTCAATATGTAGACCAAGATTTGGTCAATTCAGACCACAGAAGAAAATGATGAAATGCATGCATTGTATTTATCCAAATAATTCAAGTAATTTTTTTCTACTTTTCATTTAACTGAGCCTGGAAAAATCACTGTCAGAATCTTCAAAATCATTCTTCTTTGATATGCATGAATGGTCCATTGCTGCAATTCTTTTTTATAATCTTATAAAAAAAGATTGCACTACATTAGCCTTTGGCCCTATGTTTTGATGATTTTCTCCTTGTAAAATTAGTATGCATTTTTACTCCCGAAGTATGACAGGTAATTGGCCTTTCTTAAAAAATAGTCTAAACATTGAAAGTTTAATTTTTTTCACAGAAATAATCTATTCCATTTTAAAAGAAAGAGAGAGAAACATTTTATTCTTTCTATCATGAACAACATCAGTCAACAAAGTTTCACATTTTGGGCAGGTTTCTTTTTTTAAGAGTGAATTTTTTCAGAACCTACTTTATTAAAAATGAAGGGAAGAACAGGTGTATTTTGGTGCAAAGAAGTGTAATATAAAATATTAAAAAATTCTTTTAAAAATTGGCATACAAAATTTTAAAACACAGTACATTTATATAAAAATACAGCACAGCCAATGGCCTTTAAAATTTCCTTTGGCATTTCATTTGGCGGAGTTAAACAGAAATCAATTCTAAGGGGAAAAATAACCAAAAACTATTAACACAGTCCATAAGTTAGGTTGTATATGTTGAAAGATCTTTTCCTTGAGTTTCCAAAATCCTTCTCTTCCATGATTACCCACATAAAGCATGACTAGTGAGGTATATAGGGCAAAACACTGTTAGGCAGATGTACAGTAAAGAAAAAAAGTGCATAAACAAAGAATTCTTCCCATTTTCATAGAAACAACAAGTTAAATGTTTCTTCTTGTTGATGGTAGTTGTACTTTGGCAAAATCAACATAATCACCTAGAAATGTATTTGTTCAAGTCCCAGCAGCAGTGATATGTCTCCTTTGTTGGCATTATCCTATGCCACAATATTGTACAGTCCCTTGAGGAACTAAGGTTTGTATGTGTCTGCATGTGTGACTGCAAACATCAAGCAATGTAAGATCATACATCAAGCACCATGTCATACTGTTGCCCCTTCTTCCGCCTGCCACATTTATTGATAAGAACCAAATAGAGTGTCAAAAGCATGACCCAATAGCATGCATAGAGCAATGTTCCAACAATTAGAACAGTCTGTTTGGATTCTGAGAATGGCTTTTTAGATTCCTTATAAATGGTGAAAATCACACCACCCAGGAGAATTGTAAACCAAACTGATACTGGAATGAGTCCTATGAAATTGACAACAATGGTTTTCCTTCCAGATGTGCCCCACCCAGCTTTGTTTATGGTTGCAATTGCAAACATCTTGGCGGGAAGCAAACTTGACATATATAACACGGAGTAGAGAGACATGAAGACCATGACGATATTTCCTCTAAGGCAGCTGGCAAAAGATGATTTAATGAGACCTACTAACTGCACAGTTAACAAGAAGAGAAGAATATTCCAAATTTTACCCCTGTAGAAGAGCTGGATGACTGTTGCAATGAGAAAGAAAGGGAAGAATCCAGTGATGACCGCTTCATAGGTCATCCACAAGTGATGTTTATGAAACCACATCGCATTATACAGCCACTCCCGAAAGTAGGATTTGCTCCAACGAGTCTGCTGGTTTAACCATCTGAGATATTCTATAGGTGTTTCCGTAAGGCACTTAGATCGAGCTGTGTATTTTGTTGCATAGCCCAGACTCAACACCCGGTTTGTTAGATGCCGGTCATCACCAAAACTGCATTGGCTTCCCATAAATTCTTGATTGTACCAGTCTTCCACAAATTCATGTAGCAATGAGTTTCTGTACATTCCCAGTGGTCCACTAATGCACTGCACGCACCCAAAATAAGACTGACAGGCCCTTTCTATGTTAAAAGCCATCCAGTATCTAACACTGCTGAGGAAGGAGATCCAGGAATCATATTTGTTTAAGATCTGCAAGAAGAAAAATATGAGTAAATAAAAGCTAAGATACTGCTAAAAATACCAAGAAAATCTGCACCATTGTGAGGTTACTATCTACAGTGAAGTTTGTTATTTGATTTCCTTTTTCTGTGAAATAATTATATTGGAATTTTTCTCTGATTCTGTATTATTAGATCAATTTGATAAGTTGTGCCTACCTTGGTTCAATCCTCAAGCATTATATATGGTTCCTTCAGACCCTCCAGGAGTAATTCCTGAATGCACAGCTAGGTTTAAGCCCTGAGCATTGCCAGGTATGACTCCAAGCAACAAAAAACACTGTATCATTTGGGTGCTGGAGCCATAATATAGTGGGTAAGCACTTGCCTTGTACAGAGTCAACCAAGGTTTGATCCTTGGTGTCCCACCAGGGGTCATTCATGAGTGCAGAGCCAGGAGTAACCCCTGAGCACTGCCAGATGTGGCCCAAAGAGGAAAAAAAAAGTCAATTAAAAAATTACTATATCATTATTTCCCCATTGATAACTAAATAAAATACTGGAAAATAAATAATAACTAGAAAGCCTTTCTAGTTATCAACTCATCAACTAATTGTTCCCTTGCCTCCTTCTAAAACTTTAACCAGTAATATAACTTTGAGTTGTTTCTCTTTTCTTTCTTTGTTTAGCAATCTGGATTTTTTGATCAAGCACTTACAGAATAGCTTTTAAATTTCCAGATATAAGACATGGAATACATATTTGACATACTATAGTTCATTATTTTTATGGGGGGTGGTGAGTTTGTAACTATGTCTGGAAGTGCTCAGGACTTACTCCTAATTCTGAGTCCAATCATCACTCCTGATGTGTTCAGGAGCCATATAAGGAACCCCGGTTAACTTGGTGTTAGCTGCATGAAAAGTAAATTTTGTACTAACTCTTCAGATCATACTTGTATGTCCTTGCCTTCACAAATAAATTAATTCCAACATCAGGTTTTATAAGAATACTGTTACGGCCAAAGCATTACTGCAGAACCATTACACATTGACATTTTGTTGAATATAACATATTACACCCTATAGCCATGGTAATGGCCAGGATTAAGTAAAAAAAAAAATCCTCAGTGATTTCATTCAGACTGAAGAGACAGTGAAATGAGCTTAAGGCACTTTCTAAGGTCTTCATCACCAAAAAATAATACCTGACAAATAGTTTGGCATGTAGTACTATAGACTCAATGAATCATTTAGTAAGAATGCTTGAAGTGAACTAAACATGACTCATGCAAAAGAACAAAGTCAAGTACCTGGACATCCCCCCCAACACCTCCAACCATGGGATCTTCTTCTAAAACTTTAACCATCTCCACAGATGAAGCAGGGTCAAGCATGGTATCTGAGTCACAAACCTGCAAAGGAACAAATAGAAATCAAGTAAAAGAAAGGCAAGGACTATGAGTATAATCCAAAAAATACAAAATTGGGTATATACATTATGTTTTCAGTCTTTGAATCACAGTACACAGTGAGCAAGGAGCACAGGTATGAGTATGTTAAATCACGGCCAAAACAAAGAGTTTTCTTTTCAGTGACTCAATATTTAAGTAGGAGACAACAATGATGTTGTGTGCTAGGTATATTATATCAGGTGTTCTTCCTGAACCTGTGTGCAATGGGTATTCCTAATTTTGCATTAAGATCTCATGTCCCAGATACATCCCAGTTTTTCAGGCCTTTTGATCAAACTGGTCATATTCATTTTTGGTGCCTCCCCCAGCACAACACATACCCATTCAGATGTCTTAAATAAGGATTTTGAACAAACTGTCCTTAGTTCTGAATGATGATAGTACTGAAAAGGTGGTATAACAAAATAAAAATTGCAAAAATTTTTAAATACCAATCTTGAATAAAAAAATGACAAAAACTAAAAACATAATTTTAGAAGCATAAACGTTCAGAGTTAAAAGAGATTAGATGTGCAAAACATGCACCTGTTATATAATTAACCAAGGAATCTCAACTTTTTAAAAAATGTATCTCTCAGCTTTAATAATGATTTTTTCCTAAAATAGATTTATGTATATATATATATTTATCTAAAATGGTTATCTTGGTGAAAGTAGCAGCTTAAATGTATTATTAGAATTTATGACTTAAGGAGTATGTGGGATGCTCAGTTATAAAAGTGAACTTAATAACCTCTTTGGATTTAGCTAATTATAGTTTTGGGGAGTTAGCTTTGGGTTTTAAATTCTTTAATTTGCTTATTTAAAAGTGTTCATCTTCTAAATAAAAAATAGCTATTGTTATTTTTGATATTCTTCTGATCTATTAAAGTCTCATAAGTGCATTTTATTTTCTTATTTTGAGACCATAACTAAAGATGCTCACTTGCTACTTTTAGATTTTTGCTAAGAAAGGAGTCATTCCTGGTAGTTTTTAAGGGACCACATGGTGCTAGTGAAAGAACCTAGACTTCTTACATGCGAAGCTTTGGCTCAGCTCTTTAAATTATTTCTCTGCCAATCAGATAAAACACTTCATTGAAACTAGGCAATCATGTTTCATTATAGAAAATAGGATTTTGGATTTGTACTCAACATCCCATCCCAAAGAAATTAAGCTATCATTTTTCTTTATAGAAAATAAAAGGGCTGGAGCGATAGCACAGCGGTAGGGCGTTTGCCTTGCACGCAGCCAACATGGCCGACCCGAGTTCGATTCCTCCGCCCCTCTCGGAGAGCCCGGCAAGCTACCGAGAATATCTCCCCCGCAAGGCAGAGCCTGGCAAGCTCTCCGTCACATATTCAATATGCCAAACACAGTAACAACAAAGTCTCCAGTGGAGATGTTACTGGGCCCGCTAGAGCAAATCGATGAACAACAGGAGATCAGTGACAGAAAATAAAATTTTATTAATGTCTGGATCTGTTCCGAAGAACCTCAAGTCTCAAGGCTTTAAAAAAAATTCCTCTTAAAGCAAAGTTTTATCTCTCCCAGGTCTTGTCAAGTGCTGATACACATATGGCAACAAGCACATTGGAGACTGGTAAAGAAGGCAAAGAAAGGTGAAAGCCCAAGTTCAACCCCCCTTCAGAATCTAGTCTCCTGAGCTTAAAGGCCCCACCCACCTCTATTTACTCAAAGTAGGAAAGGTAAAACCAGAAAGCTAAAATAAACCTAAAAACAACAGGAAGGGGGCAATCCAGAATTCAGTTCAAATAACTCCGCCTGCTTGTGAGCAGAGGCAAGCCAAGGGAACTGCTTCTTTGAAATGACTAAAGTGGAACCAAACTTCTGAGGTCGTGCATATTTAATTTGGTCACCGGCCCTCCCAATTTCCAACAGCAATGTGCCAGAAGTTCTCTGAGAAAGATTGTTCACATGCTGAGCTGAACTGTGGCAGAAGGGAAAGCACTCAGGAATCTCTGGGGGGGGGGGGGGGGGGAGTTGTCACAATGGGATAAAAGTGCTTTAAAGATCTTTAATTTCTGGATGCTGCTTGGTGACAGAATGTCAACGAGAAAGTCCTGTATAATGGGCTGGAAAGCATGTGTATTCACAGGCCTCATCAAATTTATCTGCAAGTGTGTCCAAAGGGTAACTTTAGACTTTCTTCAAATTAGGACACTTGCAACAGGATTTCTAGAGTCTCTTCACAGAATAATAGCAATTATGTGGTTTCACAAATGTTGGCTCTTTATTTAACTCTGGGCTTGAAGCTGCAAGAAGCATCTACCTGCTCTTAGGAAAAACTACAGGACATGGTCTGCACACAGGAAATAATTAGTAAACAAATCGGAAATGTCTTCCAGATCACAATGAATGTATAAGTGCAATTTGCTTAAACTATATGAACGCTGGTTGCAAGAGTTCTCACGAGGTGATAGAGAAATGAAGGAAGTCACCAACATGTAACTGAAATGAGTGGGGGGTATCTAGAATAAGACAATATCGGGAAGATAAAGACACCTTAGTCAACCACAGAACCATCCACTAAAGTTCTGACGTCCAGCCCCTTTCCTCCTGCTCTACTCTAGCCAAGACTTAGGTGAATCTTCCCAATACCTGCTATCATACACAGAAGTTGACAAAAAAGTTACAGCAGAAGTCCAATCTGCAGCCTGCTTTGTCTTGAACTATGGGTGAGAAAAATGTATGCATACTTTTAAATAGTTAAAGAAACCAAAAGAAAATATTTGTGACATGTGAAAATTATTTGAAGGTCAGCTTTGAGTGTTTATTAGTCAAGTTTTAGAGAGAGAGAGAGAGACAGAGAGAGAGAGAGAGAGTGTGTGTGTGTGTGTGTGTGTGTATGGGGGGGTTGTCTGTGTGTGTATGTGCTTGGTTTTCATGTAGGTCCGTAATCAGCAGAGCTCAGTGGCTATCCCCAGCTCAGTACTCTGGAGAGTTGTTCAAGGGAGCTTGTGATATAGGGGATTTAATGTGGACTTCTCAGATGTAAAACATGACCTTTAACATATCTTCCCAGTCCCCATAAGTGGTTTTATTGGCACTCAATAGGCATATTCATATTCTTACTCTTTATGACTATTCTCACATGTACGCAGCAAAGCTGAAGAGTTGCAACGCAGATTCAAAAGTTTACCAAGCCTAATAACTTTCTATGAGGCCTTTGTCCACACTAGGTCTAAATTAATGTTACAATGGAGAAAGTTCACTTTCAATAAAACTTTTCAAAGTTGTGGTTTTTAGCTCCAATTTTAATCTTAGTAGGTTTATGAAAAGTATCTCTAGCTCCCAATGTTATAAATGGTCACTGCATAAGAAATATAAAATATTAGTAAACAATATTGAGGTATTTGTGAATATTTGCCTATTATGGAAGCACTCTCAGAATCAAGAAGCGTCAAATAAATGCTCAGTTCTTAATCTCTTTACTTCTATAACCCTAAACAAGCCTATGTAATCATGGTGTCACAGTGAATCACTGCATATAGAAATACTTTATGAACTCAAAAGTACCATGCAGATGTCTGCCATTCATATAAGGTAATAATATTTACATTTTTATACTCCATAAGTAAAATCAAACCTAAAAATTCATAAATATCATCACAAAGGGATGATTCAATCAAGCGAACAACTGAAAGAAACAAGGAGAATAATTAATTATTGAGATCTGCTTATCATACTGAGAAAACTCATTTGTGCTTGGAACATCACATCTATGGTAGCTGTTACAATTCGCTGTACACCTATTTTATTTATGAGTTACTAGAATGAAAAGCCATTCCTAATTACTTTATTGATCTTAATCCTCACAGAAATTTAAGTAAAAAAAAAATCACCCCAGGAATAATGTTACTTGTCTAGCAAACGCCTTTCAAATTCCAAATTCCAAATCTAAAATGCTTAGTCTCCATGTTTCACTATTTTAATGTGCTTCCTTTCAGACTGACTGATGAAGCCCTCCCCTTCCGCCCTTTCCGCCAGCACCATACCACTTCAAAGGACACTGAGAGCTACACAGCAAGAGGAAATTTTAATGACTCTAACTGCCTCTAATGAGGAAACAGGTTGAAAATAAATCAAGACCCCTTCTGTTGCTACTGCCTTCACTCTTTTCCTGCTTGTAATGCTCAACCCATTCTTAACCTTGATCTTCTATCTTGACCTTGACAGAGTAAAACTATTTCTTTCAACAGTGCTTAGAATTTACTCTTGGTCGTGACTTTGCTACCCCAAAATGGCAAATGATTGGAGAGACAAGAGGCATATACCAAATTTTAAATAATCCTAATTGTTTTAAGACAAAAAAACCCCTTGAAATTAAATCAGTAATACCTACACACACACACACACACACACACACACACACACACACACACACTCATACACTCAAAAATAAAAAAAAAGAAGTTTATAAAAAGTGTAATGGCATGCCATTTGGAACATTTGGAATAGGGATGGATAGGAGGAAAGTATTAACTTATAGTAATCAGGATCTCAAGTCCAGCCCAGAAAAAGCCTCTACCTCAGAGACACCTAAGAAAATTGAGGCTTCTTTGTTGCTCTTCTTAGAAAGAATTACCATGCCTTTCATGGTAGAATGAACTATTTAAATTACTAGAAAATAATTCTTGCTCTTGGTCAATCTGGAATCTTTTCAAAATATTAAAGCATTTTAAAGGAGTTATTTGATTATTCTCTCACCCTTTTTAGGAATGTTTGAACATGACTGAAGTTATAGATTTATAGCTCAGGTGACAGGAGACCTGGAAAAGTGGGAAGCAAAATGTCACTTCTAAGACAATCATCCTTATTCCAAAAGGTATGTTCGAAAGAAGGGAATCAGCAGATACTGTCATAGTCATCCTTGAATCAAAGTTTACAGCCTAAAGTCCAACTTAGGAAAGGGCAAATGGAAAAAGAAAGTGAGAAA